GGTGGCTGCCTCCACGCTGATGGTAGGAGAAAACCTGGGCTGTATGGGCGGGAAGGAAAGGTAGGAGAACAACTTTGTAAAATAAATTCCCCATGACGGGTATCGAACTCGGGTCTTCCGCAAGCAACGGCGGAGATTCTCCTCGCCGTACCACCCCAGGCACCGAAAACAAGCGGACACTCAGCTCATGCCAATGACACCACCGAAAGTATGGCACGGGTTTCACGCCCCTTTCAAACATCGTAAAGTCATTTAAGAGATGGTACCTTCCAATAACATTCAGTTTTAGTACGAGTTTCACGGCACTTGAAACTGAAATAGGCCATACTATAAGTGCTGACGGCGGCGATTTGACAAAATTAAAAAACAACAACAACAAAAACAACAACTTCAACACATGTTTTTTTCGCCCCCTTCTGTCCACCCAGCAGTAATGGGTACCTGACTTCGAGTTGGGGAAGTAAAGGCGGCGTGGAAAGGAAATGGCCACCTTACCACAATATGCCGAAGGCCCAGGAAGTTGTCTCACTAAAAAGGCAATCCCCAAAGTCCGGATCGGATGCGGGAACAACTTTACTTTTAACAACAACAACAACAACAACAGGTGGTGACATCTCTTCGGGGAGGATTCAGGAGGTTGGACTGCCTCACCCGTTACCCAAGGGAGGCGGTGGTCCTGGCGAAGAGCACGTTCTTCGGGGCTCCAAACATATCGAACGGATAGGCTACCACACACACACACACCAACAACAACAAACAACAATTTTAAAACAAACAAACAAACAAACAAAAGAGGTTCCCAAGGACGAATGCAACTGTGACTCACGTCCTTGTGCTCGGGGTCCAGCTGGTCCCACATGGACGCCACAATCTTGGAGACCTCGCCAAAACTGGCGTTGGGGTTGTGCCCCTTGATGGTGGCCTGTGTGTCGCGGAAGAACAGCGCGTACGCCGACACGGGTCTGGGAGGAAAAACAAAACAGAGAATGAATAATTTTTATTTTTCACATCTTTTAGTTTTAGTTTTAGTACAGGTTTTTAGTGGGGATCAAGTGGTACGATCGAGTCACGAATGCTCAACTGTGGGAGAGAACAAGCCAAAGACCAGTAAAGGAAGATATTCAGGTGAAGAAATGGAAATGGAAGGACACACCCTGAGGAGACCCCCGACAAGCATCATCAGACAGGCTTTAACGTGGAACCCACAAGGAAAGCGTAAGAAGGGAAGACCAAAGATGACATGGAGGCGAGGCGCTTTTCCCTTTCGTCAACCCGCAGCCACCTCCCAATCGTCAGC